AACAGAGGCCTGGGAATTAAGACCACACACCTTCAACCATCTGATCTTTGACAAACCTGACAAAAACAAGCAACAGGGAAAGGATTCCCTGTTTAATAAATGGTGTTAGGAAAAGTGGCTAGCCATATGCAGAAAGCTGAAGCTGGACCCATTCCTTACACCTTATACAAAAATTAACTCCAGATGGATTAAAGATTTAAATATAAGACCTAACACCATAAAAACCCTAGAAGAAAAGATAGTCAATACCATTCAGGACAAAGGCATAAGCAAGGACTTCATGACTAAAACACCAAAAGCAATGGCAACAAAAGCCAAAATTGACAAATGGGATCTAATTAAACTATAAATCATTCTATTATAAAGACACATGCACATGTATGTTCATTGCACAGCAAAAGAAACAATCATTAGAGTGAACTGGCAACCAACAGAATGGGAAAAATTTTTTGCAAGCTACCCATCTGACAAAGGGCTAATATCCACAGTCTACAAAGAACTAAAACAAATTTACCAGAAAAAAACAAACAACCCCATCAAAAAGTGGGCTAAGGATATGAACAGGCACTTTTCTAAATAAGACATTTATGCGACCAACAAACATATTAAAAAATGCTCATCATCACTGGTCATTAGAGAAATGCAAATGAAAACCACACTGAGATACCATCTCACGCCAGTTATAATGGTGATCATTAAAAAATCTGGAGACAACTGATGCTGGAAAAGATGTGAAGAAATAGGAACACTTTTACACTGTTGGTGGGAGTATAAATTAGTACAACCATTGTGGAAGACAGTGTGGCGATTCCTCAAGGATCTAGAAATAGAAATTCCATTTGACCCAGCAATCCCAATACTGGGTATATACCCAAAGGGTTAGAAATCATTCTATTATAAAGACACATGCACATGTATGTTCATTGCAGCACTGTTTACAATAGAAAAGACTTGGTTGGAACCAACCCAAATGCCCATCAATGATAGACTAGATAAAGAAAATGTGGCACATATATACCATGGAATACTATGCAGCCATAAAAAAGGACGAGTTAATGTCCTTTGCAGGGATATAGATGAATCTGGAAACCATCATTCTCAGCAAACTGACACAAGAACAGAAAACCAAACACCGCATGTTCTCACTCATAAGTGGGTGTTGAACAATGAGAACACATGGACACAGGGAGGGGAACATCACACACTGGGGTCTGTTGGGGGGTGGGGGGCTAGAAGAGCGATAGCAGGGGGTGGGGATGTTGAGGAAGGATAACATTAGAAGAAATACCTGATGTAGGTGACGGGGGGATGGAGACAGAAAACCACCATGGCATGTGTATACCTATGTAACAATCCTGCAAGGTCTGCACATGTACCCCAGAACTTAAAGTATAATAAAAATTTTTTTTTTTTAAAAAGTAGGTACAAAGTGCTCTTCAAAATAAATCGGGGATATCAAAGTGAAAAAAAAAAAAACAACAACAACAAAAAAGAGAAAACAATACAAGGAAAGAAGATGATGTATCAGAGCCAAACAAAGAAAAACCCATGAGTAATCCAGAAATTCCCCCTCTAACATTCCATCCTGGGGAAATATTAACTACAGATTAAGACTTATGCACAGAGGTTTTCTTTGCAGAGTTTTTTATAACAGCAAAACATTAAAGATGATATCAAAGGCCTAATAGGGGGTTGGTTAAGGAAATCTTGGTTCATTGTAATGTTTTGCAGCCATTTAAATAATACTTATAAAGAGTTTTTGATGACATATGAAATGTTTATGATATATTTAGTAAAAGAGGCAGAATAAAATTATATGTACAGTATGATCTCAACTAAGGCATAGAAAAAAAGACTGGAAGGAAATAGGTCAAAATGTTTACACTAGTTGTCTCTGGGGGAAAGGTTTGTCAACACATTTTTCTGCATCTGTATTTCCTTCTGTACTTCCACTTTGTACTTTTTTTCCAAGAAAAAAGTGAAAATGGAAGTGTTGGGGAAAGCCTACCATAATACTTATTTTAAAAAATGAGGCAGTAACCTATTAAGAATTACTTCTTATCAAAGAATTTCAGGGATCCTAAGACTGTCACCCCATTTCCCCTTAACCTGGGCCTCACTGGAAATCAATTTCTGTGAGTAGGTCATGATGGGGTGACTTGGACACATGTGAAATGTGGCGAGAAGGTATAAACATTGGCTCTGTGTCTTTATTGGACCTTATGCAGAAGAAATACAACATAAAAAATGCCATCCAGCAAGTTGCAAAAGAAATTAAAATGCTAATTTTTATTGTTTGTAATAAAAGTAGAACTTATGAAGTTTCTTTTGGTCTGCTGGGTCATCTGTTTCTGTTTGTCAATCCTGATTGCCGGGAAGATGTTTAGCAAATAAATGAAACTCAATAATTTTTTTTTTTAAAGCAACTGGCTTGCAGTAAAATCCAAACAGAAAAATATAAGTAAAAGATTGCAGTCTTTTCTTTTCCCATCTGCTCTCCTCTCCATGTCTGATATATTTATTAATGTAACTTTGGGGTTTTAATTCTTTTATTTCAACTTCTACAACTTGGAGGAGAGAAAAGCAACTTTGAATTTGAACAGTAAAGGGAAGGCTTTAGGTGGGACACTGGTTCTCAGCTGGGGGTAATTCTGCTCCCAAGGGACATTTGGTAATGTTTGGAGACATTCTGGTTTGTCACAACTTGGGGAGAGGGTGCTACTGGCATTTAGCAGGAACAGGCCCAGGGATGCTGCTAAACATCCTGCGATGCACAGGACAGGACCCCACAACAGAGAACTCTCAAGTTCAAATGTCAACAATACCAAGTTTGAAAAACCCTGAGGTAGCATTTAGAATTTGGCTTTAGCGAGTCCAAGGAGGTGGTTGGACTGGAGTCATTTCTCAAAGAACATTGATCGAAGGAAAGTCAAAGATGAGAATTTATCTGCAGTGACTGGGCAGGGGGAAAGTGACACTGGAGCAGAGGTAGAGCTGTTGGCTATAACAACATGTAACACTTTGCTCCTAAATATTGTGGCTAAGTGTTGCCTTTCAATGTAGCACAACGACAAGAGCCACCAGAACTCCCAGAAAATTCCAGATTATCCGTTAAAAGGAAGTGCCATGATTCACTGATAGTAATCAGTATTAAAATGAGTAACAAGTCATACAGACTCAAAAGGCAAACAGCAAGTAAAGCCACAAGACACAACCATAAACTTATATGTAAAACTCTTCTTTCTTTTTCTAAGTTTACTGCATGAGGTAAAACAGTATCCCACATTGCAAAACAAAGAAACACACAAAAAACAAACAAACGAGCAAAAGTCCTGATCTTACATTTCTAATAGGTTATAAAAGCAGAAAGAAAATTCAGGAAGGACAATGCAAGCTTGAAGTTCCATCAGGAATTCACAATTGTTCAATCTCAATTTATAGTTGTTCATTGCTTATTATAGACATTTACATCAGCTTTACCCAAATGAATTTGTCCACTGCAAATAAATCAAGAAATGTGGGTAGATTTGAAGTAAGTCATAATGACAATTTGGTTAATCAAAAAATCTAAAAACAGCCCAGCTGTACTTTATATAGAAGCACATGGAAGAATCTCAGAATCAGACAGATGAGGAGACCAAAGTTCTGAGCAGCTATAGTAGTCACTGCTCACTTGCTAGTTATAGTGCTGGGAGCTAGATCTCAAGTTGCAGTTCTGTAACATCCTGGGGCCTCCTTAGCTTTGAAATCCCAATGTGTGTGTGTGTGTGTGTGTATGTGTGTGTGTGTGTGTGTGTGTTTGCACGCGTGTACAAGCGCAAGTTCTGTCAAAGAGATGGAGTTAACAGTAACAATCAATATTAAACTGAGCTTTTAATATAAATATGCATAGTTACATCCTAGATGACATAACTTGTTGTCTTGGCTAGTTCTATGTGTGGTCTTACCAGAATCCTGAATGCTTACTATTTCCTGTCTAAAATGCCTAGCCCACAGTATTTAGGGGAAAAATTCTGGGATAGGGGAAATGAAGAGTTTGGCCAGAAGATGGAGATCAGCAAATACCAGAGCCCTTTAATTGATGTAGAAATGCTCCAACTCTATGGGGAAGAAAACAGGAGCTTAAGTAGGTTGGAATCACTGCCACTCCATACGAAGGCCAGGCTGACAGGAACCATTTTGGGAAAAATCTGAAGAACTTTGCCTCAGCAATTTTTAGTTCAACTGACAACGTATGAAATTCGCAAGCAGTGGCAAGTCTATAGAAATAGAAAGGAAATTAGTAGTTGCTTAGGACTGAGTGTGGGAACAGGGATTAATTGTAAATAGAAACAGGGATCTTATTGGGGAGATGGAAATGTTCTGAAATTGGATGGGGTGATCGTTGCAAACCTCAGTACATTTTATGAAGACCATTGAATTATACATTGAAAATGGATGAATTTTGTAGTAGGCAGATTATACCATGATAAAGTTGTTTTTAAAAAAAATCATAAGAATTGTCTAGTTTTTAAATCACTTTCCACCCTCCTAACCATGGTGGCTGAAGTCAAATTCTGACAGCCATATATCATATAATATCTACTCTTAAAGCAGGATTTGCTAAAATATCCAGTTCTCTACCAAATTATTTAGATGGGGTTAAAAATAACAATTGTGCATCGACCTCCTAAAATTAGATAGTCTCATGAAATTTGAGTTTCTAAAGCTGGAAACCATAAGGTCTTGAGTTTGGTGTCATTTCTAGATGTGACTGTTGCATAGGACTGGAACAGCTGGTTGTCTTTCAAGAACTTTAGAAAATGTTTTACTTCCTTTTCTCTTCAGTGAATGACTTTGCTAACATGGAGTGTAAAGTACAGTCAAGATTTTTGAACCCATATTGTGAGTGCATGCTGTTTTTCTCTGCTGTTGTTCATCGTCATGGTTTTCCTGGAGTAGGCAGAAGAAACAAGAAGGCTGAGAACATTAAGTGGCACTTTTATTCACCAAACACTTACCGGGTAAGGCTGAATGACAGTCAGGAGTATCGATTCTTTGCAGCTTCTGTAAGAGAGAAAAACAAACATATTTATGATATGCACTGAGCTCGGACTCTAACCAGTAAGAGTTTTCTTTCAAAACAAAAGGTGTGATACATTAGCGTGAATGTTCCCTGGACTCCCGGGGTACAGTAAATCAAATAGCTCAGATGCAGGCATTCAGACCACACAAAAAGCCAAAATCAAGTGTTTCCTGAATTTAACAAACTGCACAATTGAACGCTTCCTAGCAAGTTTACGTTGGGCAATATTATCTGTGCTGCCAAACAGCAGGACCTTAAAATAAAACCCAGAAAGGGAACAACAGTTTTGGAAGCATCAACTAAGTCTCTACATTTTTTGCTGCTCTCAGAATTGTTTCTCCCCTTCTGATTGTCCTTTAGCCAATTTTTCTTTGCTGCTTAAAAATTTGTCTGTAGTTTTCTGTCAGAGGAAGAGATTTTAAAAAATTTTTATCAATTCATGGAACATCATTACCTCTCAGGATCAGCATCCTGAAAGAGAAATGTTATTGTAGGTTTCTTATAAAGAAGTAGCATCCCAGCAAACATCATTTCCCATACTGTGTGACTTAGTAAGTCCCTGGTCATAATACTAGGACCCTGGGATGATTAATATTTCAGACAGGCACCAGTTGGGAAATATTACTCACAATAGGCTGTACTTCATGGCTAAAAGCAGAACAATGTAACATAATGGTTTATCTAATTCCCTCCAAGTAACTCAAACCTTTGAGGAAAAATCATATTATGGATTATAATAGTTTTTCTTTCTTCCCTTCTTTGTTCCTTTTTAAATCATGACTAGGAGAAAGGTCAGTTGCCATTTTGATAAAGAAGAGCTGACTTTTTCTACTTTAGGTTGCAATTAATTACCTGCTTTTCTGATTTATTGCCCAAACGAGTAAGGGGAAGATCTTTTGCAAGCCTGTTCCCTTGAAGAAGCCACTGCAAATCACATTTCTAGCACTAACTGATTTGTGGCTCAGCTGACTCACTCTGGCTGGGCTGGACCATGTAGTAGAAAGTAGGGTAGAGAAAGGGAGGAGTCAAGAGGGCAGAGAAAGAAGTAAGATAAATAAAACTCCAGGAAGACTCAGAACATTTAGGATAATGGTGCTATGGTGCAGGAAGGTAGTACAGTGCTGACGGTGACCCATCTGCTCCCACAAATTCCCTGTCACCCAGGCTGGCAGGAAGCCCAATGACTGCAGTAGACAGAGCAATAGTGCCATCAAATGAGAATTCACTGGATAAGATGAAGGATCTGCATTGCTGGTGGGAGTATACACATGTGTAGCAGTTTGGAGGAGCAATTTAGCTTCAATAGGTCAACTTCAGTGTCATGAACACCATGACTCAGCCAGTCCACTTTGGTTTTATATCATAAAGAAAAAATCTACTGTTAGCCTTTAAGGGGAGGGGGATGAGGATGCTCCTTGCAGCAGAACATGTGGGTGTGAAGTGTTGGAGGCAAATTGGGTGCCCATGTCCAGGATAATAGATATGAGGCAAATATGTGGAAAGCAACACAAACAGAAGCAAAACACTGTTTCTCAGTTTTTGTTCAAGTTTCCCTCATTCACAGGCAACAAGAAACACTTACCAGATCAGAAATGCTCTATAACCTCACTGACCAAAGAATGTGTCAGTGTGGCAGCCATATTAGTGGAACTATCTGCCATACCTGCCTTGTCCTGTCTAAGTCTGCTCCCAGAGCCCTCAGGAGCAGGCAATGTGCCCTGGGAACTCATTCTCTGCACCCAGCTCATTGGACCTGAATGTTGGAATGAACCAATCAGATTTCCCCTCTCCATAATCAGAACTAGGAGACACAGAGACTAAAAGTTGAGAGCCAAGTCACATTCATGACTGAGCACCAGAGTCAAGATTACAGATGCCAGTAATCCCCTGAACAGGCCTGGTTTCCACCATTCCTGAGCGCTGGTTGTTCACCATTTTGCTAGAAATAAAATCATTCACATAAATGATCTCAGCATGGTATCTATCATCATTCTGAGAAAAAGCTTTTACTTTTGTTTTCTTTCATCTTAAGTACATAATCATCACCTGCCAGAAAAGAAGAATTAACTCCATAGCACTTCAGATCCCTTAGGATTCCTAACTCAAGCCTAGGCAGAAAGAAAGATGGAAGCCATATGTGTTCATATGTTCCAGAATGCTAAGATGGACTGAGACAGAATCAGCTGAGGCTCAATGCCAATATATGCCAATCACTCCCACATGCCAAAGAAGGGTGCTGCAGGATTTTCAAAGAAGGTGTTGAAGACCAGAGTTTGGAACCCTTACCCCTTACTCATCTTGGGATCTGACTCGTGTCTTCATTACAAACTGAAAAAAAGGCAACAGGGAGAGGCTATCAGAAGCAGTACGTGCTCAAAGAGCAGAGGCTACGTTTGTGCAATTACTACCCTTACACTGAGGCAGGCCCAAAGTGTGAGACTCTCGGAAGATGCAGTAGAAACACTGGCCTTGGACGTCCTGATCCACCGAGCTACTTTGAGGGATAAGGGGGCCTTTGCAGAAATATATAGAAGCCAAGGAACATTATGCATAGCCAGCCCTTGGTTTCTGCCTGACTCAAGGGGTCTGCAACTGGAGTAACTCAGCAAAGAAATCTTCCAGGAATCCATGCAAGCAACCACAAGAAAAGAGTCCACCACCATCATCTTCCACGGACAGAAGAAGCTAATGCTGGATTACACTGGTGCCAATCAAGTGAAAAATGTCTTGCTTTTTACCTCACCATCTTGGCCTCATTTCAATCCGGAAGGAGCTAACGCTAGGGCAGAATGCTGGGGCAGTAGAGAAAACATTGACAATGCCCCTTAACCCACTGCAGGCTTCCCACACCTGAAGTGGGCACAAGGGAGCAATTTTGTGGAGTTGGGAGTTTTGACTGTTACATGACAAACGTTGCAATTACAGATTACAAATTGTGATTACAAGTGTACAAGTGACTAGAGAAATTTTCTGAACCTGATCAATATGTTTATGGGAACTGCCTGAGATTTTGTTGAGGGCTAAGGAAGAACTGGCCCTGGGGAGCTGTTATAAATGGGCAATGGGGGAAAGAACATAGTTGACTTATGACTGTACCCTCCAAGACCTGCTTGATCTACTTATTCTCATTTTCTCTTTATTTAAATTGGCTTGATTAGATCATATTCTTTGAGTCCAAACACCCTTTGACTAAGACAGGGAGGCTTAGAATCTTGAGAAGAAACAATAAAACAGTAAACAAGAGAATAAGGGATAAGTGTCAGACAAAAAACTGTAAAGCGATAGGGTGGGTGGGAGAACGACTAGGCCCATAAGGCTGTGGGACAAATGCTAATTTTCTCTAGAGCAATGCTCAGTGCCACTGAATTTATTTGTTCACTTCTGGAAAGGGAAGCTGATATGCACAGCTTCAGCGCAGTAGCTGTTAGGAGCAGACAAGGCCCTCGAGAAGGACTCTTGTTAGTCATCCTTGATGCTAATAAGCATAGACCCTGTATTCACTTCCTATTGCTGCTATAACAAATTACCACAAACTTAGTGGCTTAAACATGATGTAAACGTACTATCTTAAATTTCTGGAAGTCAGAAGTCTCTAATTAGTTTTGCTGGGCTAAAATCAAGGTGTCAGCTGGTCTGCACTCATTCTGGGGCCGTTTTCAATTTCTAGAGGCTGCCTGTATTCCTTGGCTCATGGTCCCTTCCTTCATCTTCAAAACCAGCAGTAGCATCTTCAAATCTCTCCTTGACTTTCACTTCCTCTTTCATTTATAAGGAGCTAGTGATTATATTGGGCCCACCTGGATAATCCAAGATAATCAACTCATCTCTGACTTAATCATATCTGAAAAGAAATTCACAGACTATGGAAATTAGAATGAGGAGATCTGTCAGGGGATCATTACTCTGTCGACCACAGACATTAGCTTTATCAGTTATCTAGTGCTGCATAACAAATTCCCACAAAGATAGTGATTTAAATCAATACAACTTACTATCTCACAGTTCATGTGAGTTAGAAATATGAGCATGGCTTAGCTTGGTCATCTTTTTCACGTCCTCTCTTGAGGCCGCAATGTTTTGGCCAGGGCTGGGGTCCCATATAAGAGCTTGATTGGGAAGGATTCACTTCCAAGCTCACTTCAGTGGTTTTTGGCATGATGAAAATCCCCTTTAGGCTGTTAGACTAAGGGTCTCAGTTCCTTGTGGGTAGTTGGCTTGAGGCCACTCTCAGTTCCTTGCCATGTGGGTCTCCTCATCTTGCCAATGAGGCAACTTGCTTCATCATAGCCAACAAGGGAGGGAGTCTGCTGGCATGATGAAAGCTACAAACTTATGTAACATAATGATGGATGTGACATCCCATCACCTTTACCAACTTTAGTGGTTAGAAGCAAGTCACAAGCCCCACCCAAACTAAAAGGGAGGGGAATACACAAATCTATGAATATAAGGGGCAGGGATCATTGGGGCCCATCTTAAATTTTGTCTGCCACAAAAATAAAGACAGACTTCTAGCCTAGTAATCCATATGTATCTTAAAAGTAGTTTCCATTCATGACTTAACCTTATGCAGAATTTTTTCTGTCAATAAATTCTGGAAGAAGCACTGCTCAGCACACAATTTGAAAATGGGAACTATTTTTCAAAATATATTGATTTTATTTAACGTCTTTACATCTATAGTAATGCTCTGTAAATTACCTGAAACATAATCTAGATTGACTTTAATTTTACTATTTAATGAATAAATGAAGTTGTCTGAATTGAAATAAAATATTCCAATATGTTATTTATCATCAGGACTAGGGACATGCTTCTCTTCTCTTTTTTTCTTGTCTATAATTCTGTAATTACAACCTGCCAAACAAGAAAAATTAACTCTACAATGTTTTGGATCCCTTAAAATTCCTAACCCAAAAATCCTAGGAGAAACAAAACAAAACAATAATCTACACCATTTAAAAATAGCCTCAACAGAATG